GTACCTACCTAGGTCTAGAATCTGGCAGGGCCCAGTGCCTCCTGATTCAAGTGGGTCTACCTGGTCTGGGAAGGCAGGAAGGCTGCAGTGTTAAGTGTCCCTTAGGAGTTGTTCCCCGGGAGGTGCCTTAGTAGCACTCTGGATATGGAACCCCACTGTGTGAATGGTATGTTGGCCATGACACCAGTAGCTTTTTTTTTTTTCTGCACATCGCCTCCTGGGTTAGGCCTTTTGCCTAAGACCAATGGAAAAATATATATCATATCTGGCCACAAGGCCTAGCTGTTATCTTGCACTCTGGCACTTATTTATGCACTTTCACTTTATGTGTGGTTTTTAAGGATGGAGGGTGCGGTTCTTCGAGCCTGCCCTGAAATCTAGGGGGAGGATGTGTGGCCATTAGGTTCCTTCCTTCCATGAACCAGGGGTCTCTCTTTGGGAGAGCCCCCAACCTAGTACTCAGTGGCTGGCTTCGACTAACCATGAGGAATGGGTCAGCCTGGTTTCGGCCAGGTGGACGAGAGTGTCTAGCCTGTCAAGAGCCTTGCAGACCTGGGGGGTCAGGGAAGGGCCCTACCTCTTTGGAGAAAAATAAGCCGACTTCTGACCAATGGGTAAAGTTTATTTGTTCATTCTCAATAGGTCCAGAAAACCATTATATTGTAGTCTACGGAAACAATGGCTGATCTCACCTCTCAGTCAGGATTCGGAGCCCTGCTGTGCACAGGATATATAGCGGGGTCTCTTTGTGCTTATCCCGCGGTATATGGCTGGTGGCAAAATTGAGCAGCGGAGAGATGTAGTCACTGGCTTTCTCCGGGGTGGTAGCAAACTCGGAAATACCTAGAAAAAGAAGACAGTTGGCAGGTGAAACACGTCTGTCTGGGAAGCTTGGTTCCTCAAAGTTATTCCAGCAATGTGTGACAGCCAATGTACCCTGGATATGTATGGCTTGCTGCAAGGAAACCACTTGGCAAGTGACACTTCACGTAATATAGGACCGGCTGCGTCCGGTGTGAAATGTTCTAAGCGCTGACATTTACTCCCTTGAAAATAGATCATCGATAGCACTTAAAAACCACACAAAATATATATACAGACATAGCCAAATATTTACACAGGCTCACTGAAATATAAACTACACTGAACTGCAAACATACACAAATAGAACGCTATGTACAAACACAGCAATTGTAGCCTGGACTAGATACATGGGGAGAGGCGAAGTCATCACTTAAAGAGAAACCGTACCCACATGTTTGAAATAACAACAAACACACCTTTAGAAATGTTTAGTGATGACAATCTACAAACACAGACTTCTAGATAATTGCCGGCTTTGTATTCTTTGCATTCCTTATTTCTCCTTTCTTCCCCATTCTTCTCACAGTGGCAATTGTTATTAGAGGGGATGCGGGAAACCATCTCCCTTTACTTCCTGGAACTCTGGCACATGTGACTAGGACATGTTACCATGCACATTATCTCAGGGGAGGAAGATGCCTTAGCCTGAGATGAGATTTACCAGCAATGCTCTGCTGATGTAACCTTCCAAGGACGCAATGCTTGAGCACAATTACATCACTAATGCCCAAGAGGACCAGGAAGTTGAAAAACAGTACATGTAAGTAAAAGAAAAATATGATTTAAAAAAAATGAATGTGAGATGATTTCAGAGTTGCATGATGAGCTGATTTGTAGTGAAAGGTCCACTTCAAGTCATTTTTAGGACTCTTGTACTATAAAATGAATGCTATGCAGACAAAAAAAATATGTAGGAGGCATTTAAGATCTTTAACAACAATGAGGCTGAATGTAGTAAGAACATTCACAGGGTTATTCACTAAAGGGTGAAGAGTCTGGAGAAGTGAACCATCCAGGCCAACAGAGCTGAACTGGAAAGTGAGCTGAATTGGATTTTTTTTCCAGTTCAGCTCTGTTGTCCCAGATTGTTCACTTCTCCAGACTCTTCTTCTCTTCACCCTTTAGTGAATAACCCTGTCAGAGTATTCCAGTAAGAACACATTTTAAGTTATTTTAAGTTTACCTAAAGTCACTGCATTCACCCAAGGCTGCCTATTTACCCGAACAGTGACTGAACCTATCAGGATGCAGTAACTTTTTGGCTGATAAATCCCCCCAACTGGCTCAGTCGACTTTTGTTGAGCCGGTTGGTGCTGACAGGGTTGCCCATGGCTCCAAATTCAAGGCATTTATGGCCAGCTTTATATCTGATGATATAAAAGGATGAGCCATGCAAAGAGAAGCCTTAGCAAGCAATTTATTTAAATGAATGAGATGCGTATCTAGTTCAACTAAGGCCACCTCTCAACGGCCCGTTCACACCAAAATCAGACGGTAATTGTAAGTCAATGGAGAGTCCGTTGACTTGTGATTGTACATTCCGATCCATGGATGCTAATGCAAGAGCACCAAAAAACTGAATGGGTGTGAATGGGACCAGTTCACACTGTTGCGTTGCAAGATGTTGCGCTGAAAAAAAAAGGTAGTGGATGTTCTACTTTTTTTTTTTTTAGCGCATAGTAACGGAGCGCTGTAAACTGGTCCCATTCACACCTATTCATTTTTTTGGGTTACCTTCCATCGGCCTCCGTTGAAAAATGGATCACAACGAATCTGGCGTGAATGGGACCTTAAAGTGCATCTAAACCCAAAAATAAAAATGTGATATATTGCAGCTTCCTTAAAAAGGAGTACTATGGGGTTAAGGCTTTTCCCCATAGTTCTCCTTAGGGCAATGGGAGGACACAAACTAGCGTCCTCCCGTCACCCTAGGCTCAGTATATATATACTGAGACGCCGCAGCTGAAGCAGATCCCGACAATTATGTCTGGATCCGCCCAGCTGCGTGACTGACAGCTGGCTCTGCCTATCTAGAGGCAGAGCCAGCTGTACCCGCCCCCTCCCCCGTCCGTTCCGCCAGTCAGCGCTGGCGGATCGGAGCTGGGAATCCAGCCCCTCCCCTGTCACGACAGAGAGCCGTGACAGGATGGAGAGGTGAGCAAACGCCGGTATGTATTCGCTCACTTCCCAATCTATTAAGCCGACCTGTGACAGTCTCATTGTCACAGGTCGGCTAGAACTATTAAGTGAGTGGAAAGCACTCACCTCATAGTTCTCCTTTAAGCTGGCCATAGACTGCAAATTTTATCCGGATCGAGAACCAGACAAAATCCGCTCACATGTCTGCCACCTCCCACCGGACATCCCACAAACTGAAAAATCGAAGGAGCCGGGCCAAAAATTGTCAGACCAACAGCACCAATCAGGTGCAAGCACTGTTAGGTATTCTGACAGCTGTCGGGGCCAATGGTTGAAATACAATAGCCGTAGCAGGAGATCCCTCCGTGTATATCACTAGGGAGCAGACTAATGCAGAAAACAGTCGTAGGTGTCCACAAGACACAGCTGTTCCGAGCTTCCTTTATGTATAAAGCAGACAGAGATACAGAGAGAATATTTCACCATTCATTGATTGATCGTTAAACCAGACCATCTAAGGTACCACATCAAATCAGCATAGATTTGTAACCTGTCCCGTTGCTTGTAACTCCAAAGAGTACTTGGCTGGATTATGCGACTCTAAGGCCCTGGTGCCCAACCTGAGGCCCTTCAGCATTTACTGTGAAGGTAGAAGGAATTGTTGAAGCTATGTTGGGTATTGACGCTTACTCAAGCCAACTGAGTAGTAGAGGGGCTGTAGTAGCAGGGATTTCTAGCAGTCTCAAGTAATGTTTTTCAAGGCCATGACTCTTTCCTGAAGCGTGTCTTCCTTCTCCAACAACTCTGATATCATGCCTGCCGTCCTGGACCATCTGACTGCAGCATGCCTGCCGTCCCGGACCATCTGACTGCAGCATGCCTGCCGTCCCGGACCATCTGACTGCAGCATGCCTGCCGTCCCGGACCATCTGACTGCAGCATGCCTGCCGTCCCGGACCATCTGACTGCAGCATGCCTGCCGTCCCAGACCATCTGACTGCAGCATGCCTGCCGTCCCGGACCATCTGACTGCAGCATGCCTGCCGTCCCGGACCATCTCCCTGCAGCATGCCTGTCGTCCCGGACCATCTCCCTGCAGCATGCCTGTCATCCCGGACCATCTCCCTGCAGCATGCCTGCTGTCCCGGACCATCTCCTTGCAGCATGCCTGCCGTCCCGGACCATCTCCCTGCAGCATGCCTGCCGTCCCGGACCATCTCTTAGCATGCCTGCAGTCACTGCATGGATATTCTACTGATCAGAGCAGTACAGAGCATATGTCACCCCTGTGAGATCTGTGTCCGTACAGTTTTTTCCTCCATCTAGCGATGGAGAAAAGAACTGAAACTGCTGGACCCCATGTCACTCTATGGCGAATCGGATGTAAACGGACATGTACATTTACATCAGATTACCTCCGATCTGGCATGATCAGGTCCAGTGAAACAGATCTTATCCAGTTTGTTTTTCCGGACCTGGCCAGAGTCTGGGGGTAACCGGGTGTAAAGAGATGCCCATCTGTTTACATACGGCTGCCCATAGACTTACATTGGGCATCTGATAAACTGACAGATGGACCCAAATTAGACTGCCTTTGTGAAAGGGGCCTTAGGAGTGCAGTGGGGCACCCATTGGATATTGTAAAAACAAAATAAGAACAAATTAATCTGTCCCAGATACTGTATGAACAATAAAAATGTTGCCGGGCTTTCATGAATTTGGCATGAATGAAGGTTTCCGACTACATACACCAGAAATGTGTCTCCAATGCCTTACTGTATTATCCCCCCCCAATCTTTATTTGGACTCCTGCCTTCCATTGTCTAATGGGCTTATTCCATTAGACCGCAAAAGTCATATCTACAATGTGCAGCAGCCTACAGTAAGCAATCAGGATCCATTTGATACTGGACTGGCTGTAGCGGATTTAAAGCGCTGTGCACACGGCATTAACCTTCTGCACCATTTATTGAATAAGCTCTTAAAATAAA